TCGGTTACATCGTCCTGACCACCTCCGCTGGTATCATGGACCACGAGGAGGCCCGCAGGAAGCACGTTGCTGGCAAGATTCTCGGTTTCTTCTACTAGATGCTGTCTCGATGTGTGGTGGTGTGGGATTCAATATACCCTGGCTTGGGCAAGCATTTGTTTGGCCAAGTAAGCCCATCTTGGGAACGTTAGACGAAGAAATGACAAAAGTTCATGACTGGGAAATTTACATGTCCGCTGTGATGCTCGTGAATGTTGGATAGGATAATGATACATGTCGATTGGTGCCTGAACATGACCATGTCGTAATCGGCGTAGCCTGTGAAAGACGAAGACAGTTTGTACAACGTGATGGTCATCTATCACGACATCGCGATGTTGTCATAACAGTGCAATGACGGATAACTAATGCATGGCGAAGGTGAAGGTGTTTGAAATCTGGTTCTCATTAACTATGTACAAGACACGGTCATCAAGCATGCTATCCCGTAAAACGCCAACCCGCGCCTTTACTTTTCATCAACAATCATCAGACCATGAATCATAATCCCATCATGATGCCTCTACCAAGGCACTCTTCCCAAACCAATCAATCCCAAAACGCCTATGCTGAAATGCCTCTAACTCAACCTCCCTTTCCCTTCCCATTCCTCTAATCGTAAAGATCCATATCCTCCTCCGCATCCAACTCAGCAACAGCATCAGACTCATCGTACATCTCCGAATCATCCTCACTGTCCGTGTGGTTAGGCAACACCATGATGTGTCCATCATCAAGCACAACCCTCGCCGTCTCACCCTCCTTGACAGAACCACGGAGGATGAGCACCGCAAGCCTATTGAGCACCTCCTTCTCGATAAGACGAGCAAGCGGTCTAGCACCGTACGCAGGCGAGTATCCCGCCGAACCAAGGTAATCCCGTACCTCAGGCGTCATCTCGATGCGCACATTACGTCCGTTCTGGTTGAGACGTTTCTGGATCTCGCCGAGGCGCACGTCGACGATCTTGCGGATCTCGCGCTTGGTGAGGCGGTTGAAGATGACGATGGAGGAGATGCGGTTGAGGAACTCGGGGAGGAACCAGTTGCGCAGGGCGCCCATGACCATTTCTTTGGTGGTGGGGTCGATCTTGCCGTCGGGTGCGTTGGGGCGGGACAGGTGCTCGGCTCCGAGGTTGGACGTCATGACGACGATGCAGTTCTTTGCGTCGACGACGCGGCCTTGGCCGTCGGTTATGCGGCCGTCGTCCATGAGTTGGAGGAGCACCGTCAGGACTTCCTTGGCGGCCTTTTCGACTTCGTCGAAGAGGAGGATGGAGAAAGGTTTGCGGCGCAGGGCTTCGGTGAGTTGGCCTCCCGCGTCGTGGCCTACGTAGCCGGGTGGTGCTCCAATCATTCGGCTGAGGGAGTGACGCTCTTGGTACTCGGACATGTCGAAGCGGATCATGGCCTTTGCGTCGTCGAATAGGAACTCTGCAAGAGCCTTTGTGAGGAGTGTCTTACCAGTACCGGAAGGACCACAGAACAAGAAGCTGGGCGGTTGGTTGGGGTTGGCCAGACCAGAGCGCTGAAGTCGGATGGCGTTGGAGACGGAGACGACAGCCTCCCTCTGACCAACGACGACTTCTTGGAGGTGGCGCTCCATGTTTAGCAGCTTGTCCTTCTCTGTAGTCTTGAGTCGAGTGACTGGGATACCGGTCCAGCGAGCGACAATCTCGTTGATCTGGTCCGGACCAACAGAGTCGCTCATGAGAGCCTCACCACCACCACTAGCTTGGTGAGACCACATCTCTGCATCCGCGCGGGCCTTGTCTCGCTCCAGCTCGCTGATGCGCTGCTCGACATCGGGAATGGCGTAGTACTTGAGATCGGAAGCAGTCTGGATGTCGCGCATACGCTCGGCTTCAGCAAGCTTCGTCTTGAGGCCTTCGAGCTTGAGCTTTTGCTCCTGGATGTCCTTGCTGCGACCCTTCTCGCGCTCGTACATCTCACGAAGAGGCTTCAGCTCTTCTTCGATGTTGGCGGCCTCTGCGCGCGCTTCCTTCAGACGGACTTGTGAGGCTTCGTCCTTCTCTCGGGAAAGCGCGTGAATCTCGATCTGTAGTTGTCGGTGGCGTCGCTCGAGGTTATCAAGCGCTTCGGGTTGTGACTCTCGGGTGACACGGACGGCTGCCGCAGCCTCATCGATAAGGTCAACGGCAGAATCGGGTAGTCGACGCTGGGTGAGGTAGCGGGCAGCAAGGGTGGCAGATGCGACAATGGCACCGTCCATGATGGTGACTCCGTGATGGGTCTCGTAGCGCTCCTTCAGACCACGAAGAATGGATATGGTCTCGGGAATGGACGGCTCCTTGACGAGAACCTGTTGGAAACGACGCTCGAAAGCAGCATCCTTTTCGATGTACTTTCGGTACTCGCCTAGGGTTGTCGCACCAATGCAGTGAAGCTGTCCACGGGCCAGCATGGGCTTCAGCAAGTTGGCAGCGTCCATGCCTCCCTCTCCGGATGAGCCAGCGCCCATGAGGAGATGGATTTCGTCGACGAACAATACTATCATCTCCTTCGACTCCTCGATCTCCTTCAGGACGCCCTTCATGCGGTCCTCAAACTCTCCGCGGTACTTGCTGCCAGCAACCAAAGCACCGACATCGAGAGAGAGCAGCTTGCAGGCTGCGAGGTTGGCCGGTACATCCGCATCGACAATACGGCGGGCAAGACCCTCGACGACTGTAGTCTTACCAACACCAGGCTCTCCAATGAGAACTGGGTTGTTCTTGGTTCGCCGAGTCAGGATGCGGATGACTCTGCGTGTCTCGTCTTCTCGACCAATGACTGGGTCAATCTTGCCCTCTCGTGCCATTGCCGTCATGTCGATGGTGAACTTCTTCAAGTTCTCGTTCTCCTGCTCCGCGTCTGCCGACTTGGAGTCCACTCGCTTTGTGCCTCGGAGTGCCAGGATGGCATTGTCGATCTGCTTGACGTTCGGTACGTTGGACTCGGCGAGGATCCGTTGCATTTGCGCATCCTGGCAGAGGGACTGGATGAGGTGGTCGACGGCGATGAAGCTGTCTTTTTGTGTCTTGCTCAAGTCTTCGGCGGAGCGGAGCACCTTGGCCATGGCAGGTGAAGGTGAAGTCCGCTCTGGTGGAGGGTCTTGGCTTGGTAACCGTACCATAGCCTTCTTGAGGTTGCGCTCGAAGAGTTGTGGGTCGCCATTCGCGCGTTCGAGGACTTGCTTGAATAGCGGTGGTGGTGGTACGTCGACTTGATTCGCCAGATCCTTGGGGGGATCTATGAGCGAGACGGCAAGGTGGAGGGGTGTGAGTTGTGAGTGCGCATAGCCCTTAGCTAGATCGAAGCTGTCTGCTAGAGCCTTCGCGGCGCGGTCGGTGTAGGCGTCGAATGAAGTCATGGTGATTCGTGACTATAGCCTGGTGTATATGGCCCGAAGCCAAGGTAATAATCGTGTGTCGTGAGCTCGTACTCAGGAATCGTGTATGCAGTGTGTTGTTGTTGGGTATCTCTGGAGAAGAAAGGAAGTGTTACACAAAGGACTCGAGAAATATTTATAGGGTGAAGGCAGCTTTACTCAACACTTCGCGAAGCCGTCAGGAAGCCGTCAGTGACATCGTGTGGTTTCTCGTCATGTCTCGAAGCTAGGCGTGGGTTCTGCCCTGTCGGTAGAAGCTTCTGGATCCTCGTACAGGTTTCCGGTCAGGCAAAGAGCTCCCCGCCAATCGCAGCTACGTCACTCTTTTTGCACTATACCCGATATGGCTTAGACCAGTCGCGTCGGCCCAACTGGTGCCACATCAGATCATCACTCCACGCCTACCCAACGTTCCGCCTGCAATGACCATGGTTCAATGCGACTCAGGCGGATCCGCGATCAGCGTGGCAGGGTGTGACTCTTCACGCCTTGCGGCCTGACGTCCGGTTCGAAAGTCAAAGGGCAAGGTATACTCGACACGTCAGCAATATTTTCCTACATCGAAGTTTGATTCTCTGGATGAGAGAACTCGTTGACCAGGCAGAGCTTTACTACCAGGATTCTGGCTCTCTCCCTCGCTTGGCCACGTTTGTTGAAGTCCGCCAACTTCGCCTCGATGGTTTCCCCAGCTGCCAATAAAAGCCTTACCCTCGTAATCCTCGACTCCTGTCCACCACTTCCCTCCAAGTTTGCTGTCCATCAGCACTGCAGCCTTCTCGTCCATTGTCACACATAGGAACAGTGTCGACACATCGTCTGGAGCGACGTCGTCCATGCGTCCACCAGGATACATCATGGTCGGCCACTCAGCTACGACCAGTCCGCCCGAACTAGGCCATGCGACACCAACCCACGCGTTTTCCCTCGCCGTCGGCTCCGGGAGAGCAGCCATTTCGTCCTCATCTTGCAAGTGGTCGGGTTGAGTGAAGAGGGAGTGTCTAGCGGGAGAATCCCACCACTTTCCACCGAGCAATAGTAATCGCTGAGCAAAGTCGTCTTCCTCTTGTCGAGTGGCGTGACGCTTCTTCGGTGGATCGAGACGGTCGAGGCCGAGAAAGTCGAAATCTGCTGGACAGGGCCTCTCGAGCACTATCACACCTCCGCATGACGGCCAAGCGAAGATGGTGATTTCTTCATAGAAGTCGATACGTTTCCTGAGATCTTTGACGCTATTGTAGATGGTTCGCGGACCGCACAAGTGCGTTTGACGTTGTACCGGACTTATGAAACGTGCGCTATCAGATGGGGGCGGTGGCGTGGGACGGATTGAACTGAGCACGCTACCCATGATGAGACCGGGATGTATGTCGAGTGCAATGTGGGGAGGCAGGGAACAGAAGATCAAGATAAAGCAACTGTGCCTCATTGTCGGTCACGTGCAAACCCCAAATAGCGGGAACGTCATTGCTTCGGCCCTTATCAAGACTGAGGCATACCCCATATGTTAGAGAGTACGATTATTAATCGCACTAAACAGAACCTTATAGGCCATTGATGATGTAGGACGACCATCATGATTTCGTATCTTCATCCTGTTTTGCACCCAACGCATCACCCCAACACTTCTTCTCCATATCACGCCTCACGAATGGCCACGCGAGAAGCATAAACATGGCCATCAGCGTATCCACGATCCCCCATCCACGCCGCGGACTCGCACCCATAGCATTCGCCCACAATAGCTGAGGATCGAATCTCCCATCACATACAGCATAGTCACCGCTTGCGACATTTGCCACGATCTCCGGCGCAATCTTGGCAGCGTAGGGAAATTGCTTCTCTAACTCGTGAAGCTCGCCCGACGTGCCTTCAATGCGCTTGGTAAGCTCGGGTTTGGTCTTTTGCTCTTGTAGAAAGGTTGGCGTGATGAAGTTGTGCGCAAAGATACATTGGACGGCGTACGTGCTCTTTGGGCCTGAGTACCTCATTACTTCCATGCGTAGGGTGTCGGCAAGTGAGCGTTGGGCAGCTTTAGCGGCTTGATGAACACAGTACCAGTTAGTATACTGCCTCTGAGGCTTGTACCATTCTATGACAACACATAACCACTTACCGGAGTATGCTAGGTAGCCAGGTGCCGGGACAAGCGATGCAGAACTATTCACAAACACAATCTTCCTCAACTTTGGGCTTGATGGCATCGCAGAGTCTTCGTCATCTTGAGTCCACAGCTTCATTGCCGCCTGCGCCGGGTACAGGCTGGAGTAGTAGTTGTTGTTCATACAGCGTTCGAATACTTCAGGCTGCAGATCGAGCAAGTACCCGCACTCCGACGGTGTACCGCCAGCAACACAATACACGATATCCGGAATTGTCGGCTGTGATGCGAAAAGGGAATACGCCTAGTAGTATCATTAGAATTCTAGTTTGTACTTGCCTCCTCATCTTGGTAGTTGGGCCGGACGTCTACTCACTGTTGAAGGTGTGCCAAGGTCTGCAGCGATTGCCGCGACCTGCTGGATTTCGTCTCTTCTGCTTGCCAGAATCTCATCTTTGGCCTCGTCAAGCGACGTTTGCCCGCGCGCAAAGATAGTTACATGAGCACCTATACGATGTGTTCAACAATGACGACAGACACTCTAGGCATACCAAGCTCGTACCTTGAGAAGCCATAACCTTCGACATCTCCTTCCCCAGTCCTTTAGACCCGCCAATCACGAATACCGTCTTCACATGTCAGCGTACATACGCGGATCAGCCAGGTTGCACCATACCTTCCCACTTAGATCACCTTTAGGCGCCATGCTTGCGTGCTGTGAAACGGACGGCAATGCAAAAGAGTGGTGGTTGCCGGAGAATTGATGGGAGCGAAGGTGAGCCAGACACAACGCCGCCACCTCATCCGTGGCCCGTGTAAGGGTTCTGCGCGTTTGTGGCACAGTAATTGTTTAGGCAGCGGCGCTGCATCGTGGTGCACGGCCCGCGTGATTTATGGACTTCACGTGGACATTAGGCTATGTCAAACTCCAGAAATTGTCTCATACGGATAATGAGGCTATGAAAGATTACCTGGTTTCTATTGCACGATCGCGTGTAAAGTCAGAAATATGGCAGCTTGGAGTGTGTAGACAAAGCCTGGGTTGTCTCACTCTATCCGAGCACGGTGAGACTTGGTCATTGCGTATATCCAATACTTGAACAATAATAAGCATACAAAAAATCTAGGTGTGGGTTGGACTAAACAACTTGGGCATATCCTAATCTCCAAAAAAGCCTCGACGGAAGAATCCTACATGCACGTATGAGCATCCAAGATCCACCGGCCCGAAGCGCTAGCATATGAAGGCTGAAGGAACTGCCGCCAACCTTTCTGCAACCATGATCTGACTTCGCCCCCAATCCTTCTTGCCAAGCCTCAACGGCTTACGTGCATATCTCGTGTTACATACAACACATAGATGGAGGAATGATCTTCGCGGCTCGGGGACCGCCATCTTGGTACTTTATGAAGTTGATATGAGGAATAACTCGGTTGGCTCCACCTGCCTTGCATGCGCTTTACGCCCCGTTGACCAGGCTACTTCACCCTTGTCGCATGGTGCATAATCTCTAGACTTCCAAGGCGAACTCGAGACGAGACGAATTATCCGGGTGATAATCGTGAGACCAATGGAAAAAACATTCAGCATCTCACCATCGAAGCAGGCATGCCAAACCCAGTCAGCCCTTCATGCGCCATCCAAGTATAGACCTTGTGGGCAGCTTGCGAAACGCTGATTCGCTGCGCATGATCCTGGCTTCCCTCGATTTCCATCATTTCCTGGATCCACGCGAAAATTGATGTTACCATCCCGCTTACTTGCTCTTCCGTGTTGCCGGCGTGGAATGTAACCTTTAAGCGACTTTCGCCCTTGGCGACGACGGGGTGCTCGACTGGGAACACGCAGTATCCGTCTAGTAGTAGGTGGAAATACAGCCAGTATGTGTAAAGTTGTCGGGTGCGGATAGTGATGATGTGGGATGTCGCCGTTGGTGATCCTTCCCAGTCTTTTAGTAGAGGGATGGCGAGTAGCCCGACTTGCTCTGCGCTTTCCCAGAGGGGGTGCGATACGATTGACTGTAAGAAGAGATCTACGAGATGGTGGACCTGCGCTTGGGCCTTGTAGAGTGTCAGAGAGTGATCGCCATGGACATCGATATGAAGAGGATGTTTACCTGTCTTCCAATTTCTGACTCTAACAGCCTGTATCCAGTCCGGATAAGTGCCACCGATGCGAATGAAGGTGCAGTCGTGAATATGATCGTTCGTGCGAAGTTCAGCAGCGTAGATTTGATCGTCTCGTTACCGAGGACTGTAGCTGTTTCGCAAGTGAGTATACACGGCCTTCGTGCAGGTAATGAGATACATACCGCCTCTTGACGACAATGCCTTGCCGTATGAATGCATCACTATAGCCACCTCTTTTTCCAGACCAAGAGCGCACACAAGACCCTTGCCTTGCGGCCCATAAATGCCGTTACTATGGGCTTCGTCCACCACAAACTGGACACTTCCGGAAGGAGCCAATTCCTTCGCGGCATCGACAAGCTCTTGCAATGGGCAGACATCACCGTCCATACTATAGACCGACTCAACAGCTACTAAGACTGATCTTGCGCCCCTTTGGATCAACGGATTGGATTCTATGGTCCATGTTAGAATGCGGCGAAAGTCCTCGATGTCGTTGTGCGCGAAGCTTTCCCGTTCTCCTGCGAGACTCTGGTCAATCCCTTCATGAGTGCTGGCATGCACCAAGGTATCGTATATAATTACGTCGCCCGGTCGTGGTATTGACGTCCATATGGCCACGTTTGCTTCGAACCCGGAAGCCAGCAGTAGTGCCGATTCAGCGCCATGAAACTTAGCAATGTGCTGCTCGGTTTCTTCTATATAGGCGTAATTTCCTTCAGCGAGTCGCGATCCCGGCGCCCCAGGGTTGTGTTGATCATATCGGGAAAGCTCTTTCAGGTACTCTCGCTTCAGGATACCACTGGTTCCAAAGGAGAGAATGTCGTTGGAGATGAAGTCGACTGTGGACTCGGCCGCTTGCCATAAGTTCTGTTGAATGGAATAGAAGGTGTGTGACTTCTTCTTAACTTCTAGTGCGTCTTCCAGGTTGCGATAGAATGAGGACGGGGTTGTTGTTTGCCGGGGCTTCTGATTCCCGATGCGGGCTGCCAACTCTCGGCTGGGGCAGAAGATGGTCCCTGGATCGTAAGCCTCACCCATCCTGTTAGAGTGTTCGTAAAGCAGTAGTGTAACAGATATATCCGAGAAGGATGCACTGCACATTGAAACCAGTCGCTATATGTACGACCTGCCCCCGGGGCCCCGTAGCCCATGCGACACAGCCATCAGATCAATCTGACCGTGGCATTGAGACAGGCAAGGAGATGAAGACGTCCAGGGAGGCTAAAGCTAGGCGAATAGGATCCTGGATCTGATGGCATTATCCGTGAGCCGTAAACTACCCTTGCAGCAGCCGACGTCTTAACGCGGCTGTGGCGATCACAGGCAGTAGCCGGTCAAAAGGGTGCCTAGGCGCGGCGTGCAACATCACATCGGTATGCTTACCTACATGCAGGCCATATATCGAAGTGTGAAGGAGTCGGCAAGGTATGAAGCATTGGAGAGAGCATTAGGAGCGGATCTTCGTGACGCGCACAGTTCGTGTTCATCACGTGATTGGTGAGCTCACGTCAGCGGAACATGAGTGGCTGGTACGCGTACGCCGAGATTCTGCCGGTGACAAGCAGGGCATGTTTCTATTGTGATGAAAGTAGGCATCGCGATCCAACCAACCCACGATGCGAGCCAGACCCTAGCGCCTGTCGTTCATGTGAGCCCTCGGAAGATCATACTCGCTCACCTCGCTGACATCGAACTGGTCGCGACGCTTCTTTGGCGGTGCGGCTTTGTGCCACGACGGCAACCCGCGACGCGTCTCGCCCTGACCGCTTGAGCCCGGCCGCGTTATCTGTCGCAAGAGCGAGACGACAGAATCCGAGAACGGCAGGGCCTTGACGACTTTAGGAAGCGATGGGAAGCCTATGATGAGAAATCCAGCCGTCATCTCGCCTACACCCCAAAGACCCGCGATGGAGACTATATACAGCTGGTCGGATGTGTGCAATAGTCTGTAGATGTAATAAAGGCGCACCGCTGCACTGGCACAGGCGAATATACCAACACCGAAGAGAAGCGATACACCAATCTTGCTGGCGCGCGACATGTGCAGCTGCCAGATCACCCTCTGCGGCAGCCCTAGGATGACTAGGTCGGAGATGAGGTTGACGATACCCGCAGCCATGTTGTGACTTCTCATGTCGATCGGGCATCTTCCTCCTATCAAAGGATTCCATATCTTGGTCCGTGGAGTGCACTGGACGATCTCGACCACGGTGCCGACCCCATAGAAAAGAATGTTCGCCCAGATCATGACATGAGAAATCCAGAACATGGCGTTGCGCTGGCCACGAGGTACAAAGGTCTTGAGCCAGTCGAGCAAGATGGCTACCTTCAGGAGCATGATGACCAAGCCGTAAAACATTGAGCCTATATGAACATGCTGTTACGGTTCAGTCAAGGTTCATCTTTGGATCGCGACCACACTTACGTAAAGGATTGGCAACATGTTTTTTAACTGGATATTCCACTGATGAACTTCGAAGCCTGGGAATATCGCGAGTTCATATAGGACATATGAGTGTCCAGCATAGAGACCCTGTACAGCTTGCTTAGTTTGTGCAGTCTTTTGTACACCGAAACGCTTACCAGAGCCGATAGCAGCAGCGCATCCTCCACTCGAAATGTCCGCAAGAGCGCCCTCGAGCACAGCCGAAGCAGAACCGCAAGTGCAGCGACAATGCTTCCGAGCAAGACAACACCATAGCCAATGGCATGGCTTCCGCCTGGGTGGTCGAAGTTTGAAGTCGTACCCAGGGGTGGCTCTAGAGCTGGACCCTCCAAAAGCGCGGCTAGGTATGTAGCCTGCTCTTCTGGCGAGGATTGTGCGAACGCAGCTGGGTCCATGATGTCAAGCGAATATGGTGTGCGAGCGCGATTTTGCCTTTGTGAGCAGATTGGATTAACGCGGAAGGCGGTAGAGTAGAGGAAAAATGATTCCAGCGCAGTGGATGACTGCCTTGCCAGCGCTTTATCAAGCTGACTGGCTCCGGCAGATTGAACGTACGTGGGTGGCAGTGGGTGATATTAACGGCTGACATTTGGTCGCTTTGGGAAACCAACTCGCATGCAGCCACCCCTGCACGCGCATCAATGCTTTCAAGGAAATAACCTCCAAGGATTTTGACGCTTCCTGTAGGTCTGCCTTGGGGGCCATAGACTGTAATGGCTTACCACCAATAGCCATACCATCGGTAGTGACGCCCAGATGATCATACCTGGGAAAGCTCGAAATAGCATGACCATCGCTATGCGCTTTTTCTTCCTATATGTTTTGGTGTAACTGAATCAGCACCGCACTTGAACAGTAATAATACCGTGAACTTACGCCGAAGCCTTACAGCCATGGAGCCCATTGCTATCGTCGGGTTGTCGTACAAGCTACCGGAAGGTGACAATGAGGACTCCAGTTTCTGGGACAATCTTGAAAGGGGCAGAAGCCTCAGTCGTCCATGGCCCAAGTCACGAGGCAACGTCGATGCATTTTACAGCTCTAACGTAGCGCTGGATAATACGGCAAGTTACATCCACGAAACGTCACGAGAGCAGCCGATGCTAACAGAGGTTGACAGGTATACTCCACGAATGCTCACTTTGTCAAAGAAGATCCTGCCGCCTTTGATGCAGCGTTTTTCTCCATAACCTCGAAAGAGGCCGCGGCGATGGATCCTCAGCAGAGATGGCTACTGGAGACCTCTTACAAGGCATTGGAGAATGGTAAGGGCTACCCTGTATCTGCAACACCGGTACTTTCGATAGAGTCTGATAGCCTACAGCCGGAATTTCACCAGAAACCCTTGCTGGATCCCAGACGGCAGTGTTTGCTGCTTCCATGTCCGATGACTACAGCAGAATCTTGGCTAGAGACCCCGACGAAGCGCCGACCAATACCGCGACTGGTACCTCGCCTTCAATCCTAGCCAATAGGCTCAGCTGGTATTTCGACTTCAAAGGGCCTAGCATCCAACTGAACACGGCATGCTCGACAAGCATGATTGCGATGGATTTGGCTTGTCAATCGCTTCGTAGCGGCCAGAGCTCAATGGTAACGCTGCTCTAAGAGATCGTGCCACTGCAAGAATACTGACACGCGCTAGGCTCTTGTTGCTGGAGCGAACGTCCTCCTCAGCGTCGAAATCTCACTCTATCTATCGAACATGCAGATGCTCTCACCAGACGGCGTCTCCTACAGCTTCGATCACCGTGCTAATGGTTACGCCCGTGGAGAAGGTGCGGTAGTGCTGGTACTCAAGAGGCTTTCGGATGCCATTCGAGATTCAGATGTCATACGTGCCGTAGTTCGAGCGACTGGTTCAAACCAGGATGGACGCACACCAGGCATCACGCAGCCCAGCGCGGAATCGCAAGAGCAGCTGATAAGGCACGTTTATAAGAGCTGCAACTTGGGATTTGAGTCTACGCGATACGTCGAAGCTCATGGAACTGGTACTCAGCTCGGAGATGCCACGGAGATGAAGGCGATAGGCAGGACCTTCCGGGCTAGCCGATCACAAAAACACCCGCTATATGTTGGATCCGTCAAATCCAACATAGGCCACCTCGAAGGCTGTAGCGGACTAGCTGGAATTCTCAAGTCTATCATGATATTGGAAACGGGCGTCATACCACCGAGCGCACTCTTCGAGAAGATCAGCCCAAAGATCAACGCCAAAATCTACAATGTTGAGGTACCCATGGAATGCATCCCTTGGCCGACCGACGGGCTGCGTCGTATCTCAGTCAACTCATTCGGATTCGGCGGTTCCAATGGACATGTCATACTGGACGATGCATATCATACTCTCGAGTCCATGAACCTACAAAGCTTCCACAATACATTGGTTGCTTCAACTCTGCAGAAGTCACAAGTGGATGGCAATATTCCCAATGGAAACATGAATGGCACGAACGGTAGCGATCATCCCAGCGGGTACGAGGTGGCTGCTGATACCGCTCGTATGAATGGCTCGACATCCGAGAGTACTACTGAGAGTGTTAAGGCAGCGGAAGGGGATGTCCAGCTACTTGTCTGGTCTGCAAGGGACGAAGCTGCGTTACGACTCGTAATACAGCAGTATGCAGACTACTTCGACAAGCGCGTATCAGGGCAGGAAGAGAAACTACGTCGCCTGGCGTATACTCTGTCCTCTCGTAGGAGTGTCATGGCGTGGAAGGCATTCGCAGTCGTTGATGCCAGCGAGAAGTTCACGACCATCAGCGCTGCTACCTCGACTCTGACACGCTCAGCTCGAGAGGCCGGCATGGCATGGATATTCACTGGCCAAGGTGCACAGTACGCTCGAATGGGCTGGGAACTGCTCAAATTTCCCATCTTTAAGTCAACTTTGGTCAGAATCGGGCATGTCTTTCGCTCATTGGGCGCACCGTGGTCATTACTGGGTAAGACAGTCGACTGCCTTTACTTTGACGGCCAAGCTGACTCTTGACTAGACGAGATGGAGCACGGGAACAACATCAATCAGCCCCGTTTCAGCCAGCCCCTCTGCACTGCTCTCCAGATAGCGCTTGTGGAACTACTAAGAAGCTTCAGTATTGCGCCACTTGCAGTGGTCGGCCACTCCTCTGGCGAGATCGCTGCAGCTTATTGCATCGGTGCTTTGTCACTTGAGTCCGCATGCAAAGTCGCATACCATAGAGGAAGACTGGCCAACCAGCTTATGGAATCTTTACCTCGTCCCGGAGCCATGATGTCAGTCAATCTCCCAGAAAGTGGCGTTTCAGCATACCTGGCCAAGGCTTCTCTCTCTGGAAATGTCCACGTTGCTTGCGTCAACAGCCCTTTCAACGTAACACTATCTGGCGATGAGACCGACATCGACACCTGGAAAGATCGGCTAGATGAAGACGGCATCTTCGCGCAGAAGCTGAGAACTGGCGTAGCTTATCATTCTCCCGCTATGCGTGCCATTTCCGCGGAGTATTCCTCGTCGATGGGTCCACTCGAACGAGGCGAGCAACAAAGCTCGATCTTCATGGTTTCCTCTGTGACTGGCACAGTAGTCGATGCCGATGCCTTGATCACAGGTAGTTACTGGGTCGATAATCTTGTATCCCCCGTTAGATTCGCGGACGCCCTGCGATACCTTGCCGTGACAGCACCAAAGCTCGATCGCAATCACACTATACATGATTATGTCGAAATAGGACCTCATGCAGCACTGAAGAGACCTACCACCGAAACACTGGGCCAATATATGACCAAGAAGCAAGCTAGGTACATGTCTTTGTTGTCGAAATTCGATTCTTCTCTCAGATCGACCCTGAGGACAATCGGGTGCTTGTTTACGTATGGATATGCTCCGTCAATCGATGCGGCGAACCTACAAGATGCTCAAAAGGAACGCCTGCAGATCCTGGTTGACTTACCCGAGTACCCTTTCGATCGTTCGCAGACATACTGGCACGAGACTCGACTTAGCCGAGACTGGCGGATGCGCAATAACGCACCAAGAGGCGTTCTCGGCATATGTGCTACGGACTGGAATCCTTCCGAGCCGCGATGGCGGAAGATGCTTAGTCTGGAAGAGACCCCTTGGCTTGCAGACCACGTCGTAGGTGAACAGGCGCTTTTCCCGGCTACCGGAATGATAATGATGGCTCTAGAAGCCGTAAAACAACACTTCCAGACCGAACAAGTCATTTTGGGCTACAATATCAAGGAAGCAACATTCATGAATCCCATCGTCGTTAGCTCTGAGCCTACGAGCAAGACCGAAGTGGTGACTCAGCTACGCCCGCTTCGTCAGGACTACGAGAAGACGTCGACACGTTCGGAAGTTCGTATTTTCGCTCGATCAGACAGCGAGTGGATTGAGTGTGTCCGAGCTGAAGTGCATGTGGACTACGAAGAGACTGCCACGGAAGTAGATTGTGGTCTTGAAGCGAGAGTTCACGCTAAGGCATTGCTCGAAAGCTATGTTGCCGCGGAAGAACAATGCACGCTTCTTATAAGCAAGACGGACTTCTACGACTGGCACAAGAACCAAGGCCTCAAATACGGCGAAGCGTTTGCGCTGGCAGACAGTATTCGTTGGGATGGCGACAAGCTCGGCATTGCTAGCGTCGACGTCAGTGCGCCCATACATTCTTACGAAGGGGTGGTGCACCCAGCAGTACTTGATGCAGCTTGCCAAGTCTGCTTTACTGCGCCGTCTACTGGCATGTCAGATAAACTCCCAACGATCATTCCTCACAAAGTCTATGATACCTGGATATCAGCATCTGGGTGGCAACACCCTCAAACTCGTCACATCAGAATGCTCACAACATCAAGGTTCAAGAAGACAATCAAAGGCATCGAGAGCTCTTTTACAGCGCTCGCAGATGACGGATCACCGCTTTGCCATGTATCGCGTCTAGAGATGTCGCCAGTGCTCGGCGCTGAAACGAAGAGCGAAGTGGAAAGGAAGCTGCTCCATGGCTTTGACTGGAAGCCGCAGCTATCGCTCATGAAGCCAAGCCAGCTCCAGGCGTATTGCGAAGCTGATCACTTCGCGGATGATGAATCAATGCACGTTAAGTTCATCCTCGAACTTGAGCACACGATTCGCGCTGTTGTTCACCGCAACCTCGGCCGGCTGGAAGACACCGACTGGTCTACAGCACCAACACACATGAGGAAATACCTGTCATGGCTCAAGCTACACCTTGAGCACGTACCGGTACTGTCGCAAAAAGAGCTCACGGATGAAGAGCTGAACAAGAAGCTCAATCATCTGAGTATGCAATTCCCGGACTGGAGAATGTTCATCGAGATAGCAGAGCACATTGTCCCCATCGTACGCGGCGACATCAATGCGCTCGAACTGCTTTTCTCCACGACCCTC